AACGTTAACGGTACTCTTTAAAACAGCCTTGTCTATTTACAAAGAAATATTTGATCTTGAACACTTTTTGGACCAATACTTTGGAGGACATAGAAACCGTTTATGTATAGTGTTTGAGATCAAATATTTCTCTGAGGGTAAACAAGTCTTTACGAAATGAACCCTTAACGTTGCATTAAGACAATGATCTCAGACTTAAACTGAAAACAGGCTTAAAGATACACACCACAAACAAATTTTCTTATCTCCAACACAGAAGAGTTACACTGGTATTTTTTCAATATTTCTTTCAATGGAAATGTTATAAAAAAAAATTGGATCAAGTTATAAAATGTAAAAATACACTCTTGAATTAGTCCCTGGAAATTTTGCAGTAAGAAAACTTCATACATTTCTGAAACTTTTCAAAAATTATATTGAACTGTAAAGTTGCATTTTCCCACTTTTCACCAAATTACGTGGCTTGGCCAAACATTAAATTGTTTGACTAAAAAAAAATATATCACTTCTTAAGTGAGGGAGGCATCTATTTTAGAATAATTATTTGGATTTTGGAAGAAAAAAATAGTGTTATTTATCCTTAAGTCAAAATTTAGATTTTGAATATCGTGATTTTCATTCAAACAAACATGTTTTAAAAAATGTGTAAGTTTGATAATATTGAATTGCAAAAACATGTTGATTTTTTTCAATATTCAAAAGTTTTGAAATTTTGACTTTAATCTAGTCAGTTTATGGTCTTGAGACCAGGAATTGTATTACTTAGAGTGACAGAGTTATAAGATATTTTAAAGTCTAAAACCAATACCAGAAAAAATGCGATTTTGTACGGTTTTGTCCATAAACTCCATATAATATGTTATGCAGAGTTATATGTTTTATTGGCGAATAAAAGAAGCAGAAAGAGTTGCAGTAAATAATGTTCAATAGAAGAGGAATTCTCTTAATAAAAGTATCAGACTCCTCTAACGTCCTCGTAAACTACCATTACGATGGACAACATGAACAGCTCCCATCCCCAACCTAGAGCACCATATCTTCCATTTTAATCATAATTTTCCTTTTATCACAATGTCAATTTGTTATCATTACTCTGCATTAATGTGTAACTCGAACTTCAAATTCCGACAGACGGCCAGGACTTTTATTCAATTTTCATATTATATCAATAACCCATTTTGGAGAGCCCGAATTGTCCCTTCCCCTGTGGGACGATTGTCAAACAGACAAAGCTAACAGTGCTTCTGGAAGTTGTCGGGCCCCTCCAATATTGACAGACGGAATCTAATAAGATGCCATTCAGTTCAATATCGATACAGTTTGGTACTTGTCGGTGTAGCGGATCCGGCTAATTACCCGATTATATCACTTCTTCTGAGGAACATAACAGAATAAGGCTTCAACTTCCTTATCAGTATGAAGTTATGCAAGATGAATGACTGGAAACAAAATTGTTGACCTTTTAGGAGAGCTCTCTGTGTTTCCCTGTGAAGAATTTGACAAACTTAAAGTATGACGCTTTGGACAGGCCCTGCTTTTTCGTGTTTCTGTTGAATTTCTATGTTACACTTGTGGTTCAAAGTTAGAAAGAGAGATTCCTTCTGTAAAACAGTCAAGGTGCAAAATGGTGACTTAAAGAGACATCTGCTTAAAATAAGACCCTATTGCAAACTTCAGAGTTTATATCAAATATCGTGAACTTTTTAGAACATGCAGCTCTAAAGTTACTGATAATCACCCTCAGAATAATATATAAGAGTTTGCCATTGTCTAATGATGTTTTCAGTTAGTTATAAGATATATACTGGTATATTGAAAACAAAACGTTTTAGATATCAAAGAAAAACTGTATTTCTAAATTTATTTATTCTTAACATTTTAAGTAAATTCTTGTACTTGTTCTAGACGAAAATATATATGTATCAACATTTAAAATAACATACCAAATGAAATATAGAGATAACGAACAGTAATCAAACTCAAAAGTCCATTGAACAATGCAAATCGGTAGCAAACATGGACCTCCAAAACATCATAGGTGGGATCAGGTGCCATGGAGGAGTAAGTACCGATATCCCCTGTCGACCGGTTACACCCGCCGTATGCTCCTTGTCATGATCAGGCAAACGGAAAATCCGCAGTGTTTAAACAATGGCCTTACAATTAGTATGAAAAACGTCAGTCGGTATTCGACTTAATGACAGACCAAGTCATTGTATCGATCAAAGAATTGCGAAATAATGACTTTAAACGAGACTGTTGAAATTTTTGTTTCATCAACTGTTTGGCAATAGCTTGCATTGTTTTAGAAATTGTTCGAACGTTGAGTATGCTCTTGCGCATCGAATCAACTGGGAGATATAAACCCAATATGCAGGTGATAAGGGTATATTTCTACATAAGTAAGGGAAGTTAACGATAGAAAAGTTGAAGTCATCACGTTTATCATTTTGTTGTTAGATTACCATAAACGTCTTCTTAAAAGTTAAATATCCAAATATGAGACAGATGTGTGAGACTCTGTTGTATCTTTTATTTCAAGTTCACTGAGATATATCGAGTCGACCTATGAATCGAAGTAACTATTGTTAATTGATAATACGTCGTCGACATATCTAAATGTCGAGTTGAAGGCCAAAACAGGTGTCTTCTTCTCATGTATAAGTTTTTGAATAAATTCTGCTTCATATGAATACAAAAATGGGTCTGCTAATAACGGGGTAAATCTAATTTCATTGACAAATCCAGTTAACATATGGTTTACAAACAGGATTTCATGTCATAAATATTAGTATATATTCAGACCAAGAATTGTGCTCAAATGCTGAGATCTTGAGTGGGATTTAGAATTATTTAGCTTCAACAGATTTTGGATTTAATAAACTCACTCAAAATCTGCGATTGCATCATCCAAAGACCTGTATTCTTCATTGATTTTTATGACACATCAATCCAAAAAAAATCATTTGTTCCTAGTGATGATGGCTTAAAGTAATCTTTCAAGTAATATAGAAGTAGACAACTTACAACTACCAAATTATACACTGGCAACTTATAGCAGCACTTTAATATTATCATGTTGCTTTACAAAAAAACCCTTACAATGTCCAACAATTGTTTCATTTTTAAATTTTTTTTAGTCTCATTTGACTGTTTACTGAATTGTAGCGCTCTAATTTTTAAAAATTTGAGGGCACGTATAAAGGATTTAGAGAAAAATGAAATACAATAGAAGATAATTCCACTTAATGATGGACTTGACTTTGCCTGCTTATCCTCTGTGACATGGAACAAGATTGTTCGATAAGAAAACCTGTTTAAGCAGCCTTGATGAACTTTGTAGAATTTTAATCCCATATCACTTAATGAAGCAATGCTCAAAAGCCATGTAATTTGGAAATGCTTATAAAAATAATTGATGAAAGCTTTTTGCCGAGTGTAATCTGCAGTTATCCGCCATTTTGTCTTTGTTTTTCCACATTTGGTGGACGAGAGAGTCATTAGGCATAATCCTCGGGTTCGGGGTTCCATCAGATGGTTTTGGTTGATATGTGGATTCGTTGCATTAGTGATGACCTCATGTTACCTCCATTGATAATGGTGTCTTTGTCAAGCGTTTTGTTGTTTTTTTTTTCAATTTGTGTTCAGTATCCAACATATTGGAATACATATTTACATATACCATAATTTTCAGCCAAATACGTTTGTGTACATATCGTGTTAATTGAAACTATGTTTTAATTTGCAAATCCCCAAAGAATATTTATATAGATCAGGGAGTATCAGAAATGAGTTAGAAAACGTATTCTTATTCGTCTTATTATTAATTATTTCGTTATGTAAAGTTATGGAAGATCCATAGTGAGTAGTACGAAATAAATATGGTTATAGGTAAATACAATTAGAGCAAGAAAATAGAATATAAATTAAACACACTATTTAGCTGAAGTAAAGGATGAAATTTAAATTTAGACTACAGAAATAGAATGCCAAGTTTAAAAATAAAAAACAGAAAATTATAATGATATCAATATTTTAATGATATCAAAACTTGCGTATTTTGTAAAGTTTTTTTTAAGTAGATCAAAAGAATGAAACGGATACATGTTCTTGATAAATATTTGTGCTCGAACAGAATTAACTAATTTTCCATATTCTTATTTTAATTTCATTATGTGTGCTTGCGTTATTTTAATTTTTTAATTTCTATGCATGAAAAATATATATATGATTTAAGATGTGTGTCTAAAGCAATGAATAACTTGAGTTTGTGATTGTTCTTACTAATTCTTGCATTATTAATGACTTGTCATTGATATCATAGATACTGGAGGTAGATAATAGGGACATTACAAGCTTCAGGGCATGCTTATCAGCTAATGTTACACGGACTTGATGTCCGGAACTATTTGATAAAAATAATCTTTACTTTCTCACCAAAAAAATTATTCTCTCATAGTTTATACTTCCATACATTTTAAAACCATCCTTCTTTATTTTCTACTTTTTTTTGGGAAGAAGATACCATTTCATTCTCCTTGATTTGACTTTGTGTCGATCTTAGATCAGAACCATTTACCGAAAACCAGATTCATAATTGATGATTTGTGTGATTGATAGGATCTTTGTCAAGGTAAATCAAATGTTGTCAACTTTAATACCGAACAAATAGGCATCTATAAATATTTTACAGTTACAACCCATCCCGTATATCAAGGGAGAAGTTTAAAGTTAGCGATAAGCTATATCGCGTTTGATATCTCCGATTTAGGAAATATTCTGAGAATACTATTCCCCGATGTCTTGTAAAGAACTGTTTCTCCAAATGTATGCATTTTTAATTCTGTTTTCATCTCTGAATTAAAGTTTGTTCATTCTGCAATACGATTTATTTTGCAGATATAAAATTCTTTTTGATCATCTATTTATTAAACAGACCTCGTATTTTGAAAATATATGTTACTGGATTTGTATTTAAAAAAACCCAATTAATTCAAGTTTTTAATCATTTGAAATGCATAGTAATTACAGATAAAACAATAAACAATAATTTGATATGAAATCTTGCGTTACTGAAAAGGAGAATGACAAATATCAGGAAAAAAACAAGGCAGCTCACTGTGATTAAAAGCAATCTTGAAATTAATATTTAAGTAGAAATCAAGCCGTTTCTTTGATGTCCTGGTACGAAAATTAATAAAGTTATCAGGCTCTATTTCAATATGAGTTGTTCTGGTGGAATTGTCCGGGGGATATGCCTTATTCATTATTCAGTGATGATTTATCACTGCGAATGCTCTACCTCTGATTACGTTATATTTCTTCATATCCAAAACATGGCTTCCATTCCGCTTTAGTTGGTTTACTTCAGTTTTGGCTCGCTGTTTGTAGAGTTTAAGTGAACGTCTGGAATAAAAAAAAGGGATTTTTACATTAATAGTCTTCTGGTTGACAAATTAAGTCATGCATTATTTAGAAATTTTATAATGTTGTTTGGAAGGTATTTTTGATAGTTATTAAGAGTCCATCATTCACATTAAACAAAATAAAAACAAAGACGGAAGTGTTTGTTCATTATTAAAATTTCATGGAGTAGAAATGAATATGTTCTCTAGAGAAAACGATTAATTAATTTGATTGATGAAGAGCAGAAAAGCAAAGGAAAAGATAATGTGCTGGGACGATTCTATATGACATTGGAAAAGTATTTCAATAGTCATATAACGAAAAATTTCCATCGACAATTACTGAAAAATCAGAAAATGCCGGGTACTGCGTAGCACTCGGAATTCAACAGTAAATTGCACTTTAAGCAGCCATTCACGCAAGGAAATTACGTCTTATCAAAGCTTTTATCTGCAAAAAGAAATATTCAATGTTTGATGTTTGGTAAACAATTGCATCTTCTAAGGTGAAACAAAACCGGAGTAGAACTTCAAAAACATTGTTTTTATAAATGGCATGAATGTTGCTTCGAATATTTTACAAATATCTTGATATGTGTGTAGCTATGGGATACACTGAAGAAAAGAAAATATGTTTTCAGAATATCAAGTTTTACATATACAAAAACTAACATTGTTGGTAAATAAAAGGAAACATATATGCCTTTCTTCCTCTGGTTTTAATTGTGAAATTGGTGAAATGGAATTGTTGAAATATAAATGAATTATTTAAATAATGAAACATATTTATGTGAAAAACTGAAAGTAATATCCTTTTTACATGGACTTCTCAAAATATAATCTGAAGTATTGTTAGTATTTGTTTGTTTGTTGTTTTGCTGTTTTGTTTTTAACAAAATATTAATATTTTACAAAGATCTACAAATTGTTTGATATTCAAAAGTAAACATTTTAGATTACATGTATTTCTTAAAAAATATTTTATAGTCTTTAACTGATAAAGGACTCGTGTTCGAGATTTTATTTATGTTCAAGATAGAATTGAATGTGTGTCACAGAATAATATGATATCATTAAGAAGAAAATTTGTATCATACCTGTGAAGGAAGAGGTGGGGAATTCACCTTCATGAGCTGAAAGAAGGTAAACGTTTCGAGAGATTACTTTTTATTGTAAATCTGAGACTCCTTTTAATTGAAATTAATTTACTTCTTTGACGATAAACAAAGATTATTATATGACACTGACAAAACTTTATTCTCATAAAACTGGTAACAGTCGTAGAGAAAAATAAATATTGCAATATATATAATGCACATTGCGTGGCAGAATGAACCAGGAGAGCGATAATCTTTTGTATAAATTTACGTAGATTTATCAACTGTTTCTTTTTGTATCTTTGAACATATTCTCTTTGTATACATTCGGGTTCACAATATAATAATTAGATAAATACTAGTATAATGACCTTCCTTGTTTTAATATTACACCAGTTCAATTGAATAAGTAATGAAACTCTGCACCAATTTCTTTACAATTACACAAGTTAAATTAAGTCAAATGCTGACTGGCGTCTTTCATACAAGTCATTATTTATACACTGAATTTTCTACGGTTTTTCCCGATCATGACAAGGAGCACACGGCGGTTGTGACCGGACGACAGAGGATGCTCACTCCTCCATGGTACCTGATCCCACCTCTGATGTTTTAGAGGTCCGTGTTAGCTCTGCTCCTGATTTGTATTGTTTGAATGGACCTTTGAGCTTGAATACTGTTCGTTTTCTCCATATTTCATTTATTTAATCTTAATTCTGTAGGAATATCGTTCCATTTCCCTATTTTAATAGGGAGCCTAGCACTACCTGTTCCAGATTTACAAAAACTCTTAAGAAATTTCACTGGTAAAATATCAAAATATTTTCCAAAGGATAATGTACTCTTGAACAATTTATGATTGAGTGCTTTAGGTGTATTAGATATTTCAATATACCTTGATTACTTAAATTTATCATTAAGAATATGATATACTTTTCTTTTTTTTTTAAACATTTACCTTATTACTTTTCCACATACATGATAAACTACGCTCGTATAAGTATGTTTAAGATGTTTTTGTTTTACTTTTTTGATGTTCCTGCGTGGGATGATGAGTGTAGGGATGGTTGGGGTGGGAAATACGTATGAAGGAAGAAAACACAATTTAATCAATGTTAGACAATGGTTTTTCCCCCAGTTTTTTTTGGTATAGTTGATAATTGAACTTTGCTTTATGAAAAAAGACACTACTTAATTGTTTTTTTTAAAGACGTGATACGTTTACTTGCCAGACTGATAAAAATGCACCTAAACTAAAATCTAAAATTTATCGATGTAAGATACATAAAGATTGATTTTAATGATTGTTTTTTTACAATAAAAGTTTTACTGGTCCTTATGTAAAATGATTAGTCACTACTTTTCCTGTATTCCTAAATCCCTAAAATATATTGTGTATGTTTGACGGTTTGTGAAATGTTCTGTGATCTTATTTGAATTATTAAGCATGCTAAAGACAACGTAAAGAAAGTCAATAATACTTTTACTCTCTTAAATGATGTTACTGGGGAAGTTTTGCTTGTTTGTACAAAAATAACAATGAAAGGTTACAATTGTCATTTTGTAACATTTTGAATTTACCGGATGGTAGGAAATACAAAATTTACAGTTGTCAGATTGTAAATTTTGTATTTACTGCCACCCGGTAAATTTAAAAATTACAATATGTTACAATTAATGTAAACTATATCAACATATCAAATGTCTCTCTTTTGACACCAGCTAAGAATCTTAAATAATGAATATAAATTTCATATTTTTGAAAACAGTAACAGAATAAATATATACAGTATTTATCATGTATATGCATGTTTCGGAAAATATAAATATTAAAGAAATGTATAAATGCATGTATAAAAATGTACTATTACATGTACATGTATATGCTTTTTAAAATATCATTGAAACTGGACACAATGTAGCCTGATTCTGGCTCTGCATTAATTTTTATAAAAGAAATCAATTTCCTTTGTGATTAAATGTTTAAATTGTACTTTTTTAATGTTAAAATGCCTTTCTGGGCATTTGATTGGTCAATAGAATATCCTTGTTTTGTATGCATTTTGTGTTTGTTTGTTTCTGGACAGGAATGAAAATAACTCAAATTTATTTCGATTTACATCTTGTATTTTTCTTTCATTTTGCTGAATGTCGTATAGAAGTAAAAAAAAAAAATCAACTGAATCCAACAATCTCAACAATCAGTCTATTAACATACCCTAAAATGATCAATAGTTTGATAGAAATATACGTCAATTGGGTATCAGTTCAAAAATGTAAGCACCTTACAAAGTTTAACAAATATAAGTTTTTTTTACTGATAAAACGAAGTACTATTCGTTTACAAAAAACTAAAAAAAAATATACATTCATCCATTGTGCATTTGTTGAAATATGTATTCACTTACCTTTTAGTTAATACTATATATTTAGTGGCTTATCAAGATGATGCGGGAATAGTCCCCTACTCTGAAAGCTAATTATCATAAACAGCACACAATACGGCTTAAAATGCATTACGGAGCATTTATTTGCTTCTACCGTCAAATGAACTAATTTGTTCTGTGGTCAAAAACAGAAATGTGTGTAATTACAACAAGTACAAATCGTATAAGCAAAGATTGATTGGGGTAGGGTAATTATACATCGGCAATGTTGGTTTTGAAAGCTCTATAGAAAACACGACTACAAATGGATTTCAAATCCGCCTCTAATCACGTTCAACTCTCGCGAGATTTTCCATCAGAAGATAGCATGATGGGGAATATAAAGACACGACGAAGGCTTGATTTGTGCCGAAAAATCTTTCTTCATGTGAACGGGATGGATTCCTGTAAACCCGTATTCATCTAACGAATTCACCAGGGACCCGTTCCTAGTCGTGTCTCCACTTCAAATGTCGCGTGCAGAAATAGAATTACAAGTAAAAAGAAAATTATCCTGTAGTGGATTTATTATTTGACACAAGTATTTATACAAACTTCTATCACACGAGATTTGGTATCAAGAAAGTCAATTATGTACCTTCTGAAAATACCAGCTTGTTCAATTTCAGTTTCTTAAAACACAAATACTCAGAGAGAGAGAGAGAGAGAGAGAGAGAGAGAGAGAGAGAGAGAAGGCTGTATCAAATATTTTCTTTCATCGTTATGTTCTTTTATCGATCAAGTTAAAATTGATGGTTGTTTTAAATTAATTTTTCCCAATTTCCCAAGACATGTTTTTTAAAATATTAGAAAAATTCTACGTATTTTTGTAAATACAGTTTACAATATTTTTCTAAAGGTTTTTAAAAAACTAAGAATTTATATTGTCTAGAATTATTAAAAGAGATTTATAGTTATCAGCAGTGAAAATGGAAATTAACAAATTTTAGACTAAAGCACACTGCGTGTCTTGTCAAATATATACAGACTCCATAAGAGTAAACATAATCATAAGGGAGACACCAAATATAAAAATGATAAAAACAATACTTATTATTAACAGGAAGGTAAAAGTATATTTATTTTTAAGCTGCAGTAAAATTTTTACTTTACATAAAATAAACTTAGACCAATTTCATGCCTTAAACTAATCTTTCTTCAGTCCATATTAAACAGAATGGGTCCCGTTTTACAAAAGAACTCACGACTAAGACCGAAGTATGTTTTTGTGAATAATTTTCTTCTTTGTATTAATTTGAAAAAGTATATAATTTATTTTTTAATTTAAACATATTTAAGAGCAATTGTAATTAAAAGAAAACTGGTGCGCAAGATGTTAAAACAACTAAACTTGTTGGTCTTAGTCGTAAGTTCTTTTCCTGTGTATAATGAAATAAAGCAGAATGAAAAGATATACAGTCCGTAACTTTGCGTCAATCGAGAAGAGTATATTTGTCACACATGTTTTTTTTTATCTAACTGAAAGTTAAGATGATTCTTGAGATTACAATTTTTTTTAAATGTTTAGACCTAACAAGAAAAAGAGGACGTAAAGTTATAAAATATGCAGTTTTACGACATAGGTTTTGCAATGCATATGATCAAACCAGTGCAAAAGCATAAGCAGAATCAACCGTGGAGAAATAAAGTTGGTGATGAAATGTGAAGATAAAACGGTGATCATTCTCAAAAGGTCCATTTAAACAACACAAATCATGAGAAGAGCCAATACAGGCCTCTGAAAAATAGAGGTAGGAACAGGTGCCATGATGGAGTAAGCATCCCCTGCCGACCGGTCACACTCGACGTGTGCTCCTTGTCATGATCGGGTAAATGAAAAAATCCGTAAACAATTCAGTTTGAAAATGATGGCCTAACAATTTGTATGAAAGACATTAGTCAATATCCGTCTTAACGACAGACTGTTTTGCAAACAAGGTCATTGTATCGACCATAGAATGTTGACCTTAAAAAGGGATTCTTGACATCCTTCTCTCATCAATTTATTTGTCAATAGCCTGCCTCGTTTTAGAAATTGTTCCTACCTACGTAGAAAATGCTCCTGCATATCGAATCGGCTGGAAGACATAAACTCTATATGCAGGTGATTATAGTCACATTGTTACATAAATAAGGGAAACTGACGATAGAAAAGTTGAAGTCATCACGTTTATCCTAAAGTTTAGTTGTCAGTTTGCCACCAATGTCTTCCTCTTGTAAAACATCCAAATATGGAACAGATGTATCGGACTCTGTTGTGTTTTTTATTTCGAGTTCAAGGGGGTTTATCGAGTCAACGAAGCAATGCAATTGGATATTGTTAATTGATAAAACGCCGTCGATACATCCAAATCAGAATATCCAAATGCCGAATTGAAGGCCACAGGAAAAGACTTCTTCTTTTCATGTAGAAGTTTAAAAAAAATCCGATTGATATGAATACAAAAATAACGGGGTACATTTATTACCCATTGGAAATTCCAATAGATTGTTGAAAGACCTGGTCTCGATCGGAAAACTACAAAGATATTGTCAATGAGAAACTCAAGGACCTTGAGATTGATATCAACTTCACAGTAATTATGTGTAGAATCAGAATGTTTTGTTTTGTTTTTTTTTAAAAATTGCAGATGACCAATGACAAGGTACTCCTGAAGTTTCCTTCACTGCTGTTTATATTTTCGTGATGAGTAAAGAAGGAAGCTTGGTAGAACATTTACTAGAAGCCGATATGCAAGTTTTTTATGAATATAATTTTATAGATTTCATGCAACACACAGGCTTGGTCTTTTTTTTTTTTTATAACGAACAGTAATCAAGCTCAAAAGTCATTAAAACAATACAAATCGAGAGCAGAGCAAACACGGACCTCTAAAAACAGAGGTGGGATAAGGTGCCATGGAGGAGTAAGCATCCCCTGTCGACCTATCACACCCGCCGTGTGCTCTTTGACACGATCGGGCAAACAGAAAAATCCGTACACAATTCAGTGTTTAAATAATGGAGTAACAATTAGTATGAAAAACGACAATTCAGCAAAAAAAATATAGGTCTGAGATCATCTCAAATATACATGTACATGTACGTTGTTAATCAGTACACAATTTAACTTAATTTCATGCTTGAGGCTACGGTTGTTTATGACAACCTTAATTATGACATCACTTTCTTAATGTCACAGCATTTATATTTTAAAACATAAATTGCAATTACGTAAGTATACTGTCATTTTATGTTTTAAACATACATTGTATTATAAGAAAATTTAATTCATTTATTATTTTTTTCTTTGATTATGTTTATCAAGCCAGACATTTTTTGATTTAAGAAAGAACAAATATAAACAAAACAAAACACAGCCACAAACACACAAAACAAACCAGCAAAAAAGAAACAAAAACAAAACTTTTTCGGGGGTAAGGGGTTGGGGTAATGCACACTTATGAAGTACCAGCCGATTTCCTCCATATGCATAATCATAAAATCCTACAAAGTACCATGTTACCTTGGAGGGTACTATTCCGTTTATTATAGATTTTAGACTTTGAAAATCCTAAAAATGAAGAGGTATCCGATCCCACCTACTCCTCTCCTTCAAGCGCGATCCTAAATATTACACAAAACATTGCGATTATATGCGAAACATTCACTACAAATAAATTTTTTGCTATTCTAAGGGTTCAACGGGAAATTCGAGACCTTCCTCTTTAAAGTGTTTCATCTTTTGTACAGACTGTCCATTTGAAATTAAAGATATTAATGTAAACATGTTAATCTAAAGAATAAAAATGAATTAAGTGTAAATTTTTTTATTGAATTCATCATAGTTGTGAATATCAATTTATTAATATGTGTATTTATGTTGTTGAATTTAGAACCGGTTTCATGGTCAAAATTCCACGACGCGGCTCAATCTTCAACAACCTAGGGTCTAAATTCGGTACCTTTAATATCAATATTCAATGTGGAAAAATGACCCCCCCCCCCCCCCGGATCAAAACTCTATGTTACACAACCCATAGTTACTTATTCAAAGATATAAAAAATAAGGAATCATAGTTCCTTATTTAAAGATATTAAGAGACAACGGACCTATAGTTCTTCAAAAGTTAATTGAGGTGAATGAACCTGGGCAAAATTGTGATTCTTCTAATAAAATATGCAAAATTATAAACCACTGTAGTCAAAGAATTATTGCAACAAATTGTATAAGCGACGTCCACAAGATTGAGGTAAATTGTCATAAAAACTAACAATATAACTTCAATATTTCGTAATAACTTTTCAATCGCCGTTGCACGTGCTCTGATTAAATTTCTTTCACAGCACGTGCGAGTCAGGGAATGATCTTTGTCTCAGCACGCGATTCAGTGGGAAATATTGATAAAATGTTCGTAAATCCAAGAAAATATTCATCAATTGATAAAATTGAATTGAATACACGTTTCCAGGGCAATTAAGTAGAAAATAATCAGAAACAACCCATATTTGAGCGTCCTTCCGAGTAATTTGTAACAGTTTAAAGCGTAATGTAGCTTCTTTTCTCATTTATTCACGAGACTTTTTTTCTATACTCTGTGAGAAAGAAACAAATTTGGTTCGAAAAACTGAAATATCAGTTTCTATAAGCATGAACATTGAAGAAAAATCGAAAACTCATTAGCCAAGTGCTGAATTTTAGATTTTAAAAAAGAATTTCATTTCGACTCTGAAAAATGAAGGAACCTTACTAGAACATAATACACAGTAATTTACATCCATAAATTTCTCCTAATTAGAACGCTCTTGGCAATATTTTCCGACGATACTACATCAAAAGCGGTAATAACCATACTCGACTATTGTCCAAAAAAAGATATCCATCCACTTGAGCCATTTGATGATTAAAAAGATAACATGATTCGAGACCCAGTGAAATACAGAAAAGTGAAAAGTAATGACAACGGGACATGCTTCAATGACAGGAATACTGACTCCAAATTAATAACTTAATTGACAACCTTATTCCGGAATTGCGTGGTGTTACCATCACGGAATGATGATTATTGTTTCCTCATTTCGGAAAGTGTATATTTCCTGCAATAAAATACTGGTGTTTAACTATTGATCATTGACAAAGACATCAGCCTCCCTATTAATGAAATTGAAAGGATCTTTATCTGCGAAGAGATAATTAGGGGCAGTAAAATTTCCTATCTGAATATAAAACTTATATACAAGCAGTTCTCATCAATCATTTTTGATGAAGAAAATTCTTGTATTTACTAAAAAAAATCTTGTATTCTAATCTTAAATTTGTAGTTAA